AAATATTCCAAAATTCAATAAAATCTGAAGTCTGAAATGCCTCTAGTCCTAAGCACTTTGGATAAAGGATACTCAACATGTGTCATAAACTATCCCTATTAAGTTCAAATTCAGTTACCCACTCCTGTCAATTTGACCTTTACCTCAACACCCACTTAAAGTTCTATCAAATAGGAAATATTTCCAGCCCACACTGATCTTTTCCTTTTTATGCCACAAAATAATTTTACACCATATAAAATGTTGTCGTATTTGTCTCCTTTGTAAAATTACACATATTGAAGGGCAGCAACATTACTTTAGTATCTTTTGTATCCTTCAACATTTCTGAGCTTGTTGCTGACTGACCAGCAAATCTACGTGGTGGCAGATGGCCAGCAGTCACAGGGCGAGGGGTGCCTGCCCTAATGGACTGTAGCTGATTAGCTCTGCAGGCTAGAAACCAAATGCTTGTTATTGTAAAATGAATGCAATTTAATTTAATTCTGTACTATAGTCACAAATCAGCCTTCTAGCTTTTAAATCCTTATTACTATTCAAAAGTAAGAGCAGATGAAAGAGTGAGGAGGATCAGCAGAAATGTATCACCAATGCTGACAACTCACAACTGATGGTGCGTCAGAAGCAGGTTATACCTTTGTCAATTATCCTCAAACTAGAATGTAATACACAAGTCTACTAGAGATTAAAATGAAAGCTTTACCTCACCGTGTTCAAGGAGCTGTTTTCTAGAATAAAACAAAAATATTATCTATTTACTGAATGTCTCTTATACTATGAATACATAAAAATAAGCTTCATTTGTTTGATCTTTGATTTTAAAAATCTGACTATCTTCTAAACTACTTAGGAACATACATAAAAATAAAAATATCAGATAATACTACAAAAATTACAACAATTTAAAAGTCATAATTTAGTTATTTGGTTAAGACAAAATAGATTTTACAGATCCCTGGAGATTGTACCTCTCATGAATAAATGAATAGGATGACCTTCTATTAAACCTATATATACAGTGTATACAATACTTTAGATGACCACTGTTAAACTTTTGAGTTGTTTTCATTTTTCACAATTACAAATAGCATGGACACTCATGCATAAAACTTTGTAAGCATCTCTGAATATTTCCTTAGCATAAATTTCCAGAAGAAAAATTATTGGGTAAAGCATAAATATTTTTAGTTTCAGAAAAGTTATCCCTTTACAAAATATTTATAGTGCACCTACTGTATTCTAGGCACTGTGCAATGAAATGAATACCACAGTCCCTGCTTATCCTCCGATCCTCACATTCCAGTTTCAGTTACCTGTGGTCAACTGCAGTCCAAAAATATTAAATGAAAAGTTCCAGGAAGTAAACAATTCCTAAGTTTTAAATTGTGCACCATACTGAATAGTGAAATCTCAAGTCACCCTGCTTCATCCTACCTGGGATGTGACTCACCCCTTTGTCCAGCATATCCATGCTGTATACGTCACCGGCCTGTTAGTCACGTAGTTACCATTTCAGTTATCAGATGGACTCTGGTGGTATCTCAGTGCTTGTTTTCAAGTAACCCTTTTCTGACTTAATAATGGCCCCAAAGTGCAAGAGCAGTGATGCTGGCAGTTGAGATATGCCAAAGAGAAGCTGTAAAGTGCTTTCTTTAAGAAAAAAAGGTGAAAGTTCTCAAAAGAAAAAGCATCATATGCTGAGGTTGCTAAGATCTACAGTAAGAACAAATCTATCCATGAAATTGTGAAGAAGGAAAAATTAATGCTGGTTTTGCTGTTGCACCTAAAACTGCAAAAGTTATGGCCACAGTCCATGATAAGTACTTAGTTAAGATGGGAAAGGCATGAAATCTGTGGGTGGAAGACGTGAACAGAAATGTGTTCCGATGGTGGTAATCAGGTGTGTTACTCTCTGCAGTCTCAAGACTGGGGGTCTTGGGATGCATCGCCCTGCAGATAAGGGCAACTGCTGTGCAGCATGAACAGTATGGACACAACACTTACCTTCATGGAGTTTATATTAGAGTAAGACAAGAGGTAGGAGACTGCCTATTTTATTCTTCTCTTGAAAAGACTGGGTATTTTACTTTTATGCAAGGCTT